GTTTTTTTGCCTCTACTCATAATCCAAAGCAACAAATTTTCACTAACCTGACACTAAAACAAATACTATCTGTCAACATCTTTCGACCCATCACTCTCCGACCACCCCAAACCTTAATTCGATGAGGATTGTCGACCACAACAAATAAATTTAACTTTTATCATTAGCACTCCTCTTCGACACGTCTGATCCGGAAAGCCGTGTACTATTCATCAATGGTTAACAAATTTCTCCAAAAAGTGCTCATTATTTTAGCCTTGCGCCAGATGAAGTTCAATTCCGTAAAGTGCCGAAATGTATTCAAATGTGACTTTGTAATCGTATAAAAGAGAACCAGCTGTGGGGCGATATTTAGTAAGTTAGCCTAGTAAGTCATTGATAGTTTAATAAGTGGAACTCAAATATGTAATCAATTGTAAAGATGCTATAAAAAATGATCGGCTCATTCTATCGCTCCTTCGACCATGGTTTGTCTTTGCAAGGCTTAGATTAGACCAAAAAATGGATTATTGCTGCCCTATCTGGACTGGAGCTGCACAATCCTAATCTTCCACCCTCGATAGAGTTCAAAGTTTCCCAAGTGATCTTGTGGAGGAAGACTTATTTTAGTCTCCGTCTTTTTTTTCCCCACAGGCGCAACGTCACAGACCCATCGCTGTCACCTCGCTATTTCCATAGCAAATGTTCAAATTAACGCCGTTCTTTAGTTACAGCTGTTAAACACCGCATACTTTAAGAAACCTCCTTTTGGCCTCTTTTACAAGTGAAATGTAAATTAAATATGTATTTACCATAGTCAATCTTGCAGTATTATCCTCGAAAGTCATTCACAGTGGTGTTATAAAATAAAATAAGACATATCTCGGCTGATTTGCAGGCAAATAAACTAGCATACTCAAGAGCGAGAGCCGGATGTGAACGGGACAAGGCCCCGTCACTAAATGACCATTATCGTCGTTTGCGCATAGGCCCGACGCACGAGTTCCGGTCGAAAAATAAAATAATATTTTAAAATGTTTCTGTTTTTCGACCAATAAAAATGCTTCCCTCCTAATTATACTCGTGTCGTTTTTCGAGCCATAAAAAACGCCATAAAAGGGGTCACACGGGGAAGTACTAACAGTCAACAGGAGGCCAGGGAAGAGATCTGTCACGGTCAGGCTGAGCAGTCAGAAGTAGTCAGCAGGAGGAGGGCCACGCCAACCAGTGAGATCTACTATGAGAGATCAACCCAGGTCGGGAGCCGGCTTATGAACATACCACAAAGTAGCTGTCCCAAACCCACACATTCCTATTGAAATAAATCACGTAAATCTATTTCTGCTGTTGTCGTATTTCCTTCTTGCAACCATACGCTTGTCTATAACAGTGGGTTTTATGTTTATTATGAAAATCATGAATATAACTGTGCCAAACTCGAAACTCTCTAAGAAGATTATTTTGTTGTAAAGTCCCTCAGTAAAGCCCGCAATTAATTTCATGAATTCATTTCTTGGTGTTGTCCAGATACATTATCTAGTACCACTAGTGTCACAACCACCAATTACCTTCTCAGTAACTTTGCTTATAACAAAATACTACAGAAAAACATTATTTCATTTTTCTTGCTTTTGTTGTTAGTACAATTTTTCTTCTGTGTTTATCGCGAAAAATATTTGAGTGGATACAAACTAAAGGAAAGAGACCCTTCAAATGTTTTATATAACTGAAAAAGACCGAAAAATAGATTGACCGAAACATTAGCGTAAAATCCAGCTACATAAAATTAAGAGACATCGTGAGAATGAAAGGGGGACAACTCACATCGGGTTAAAAACCCAGGTTGTTTGTGTGTGTGTGTGTTCCTTTATATATGGGATCGGATTTCCTACATTTTTCAGCAGATAAAACGAAAATTCACTTCTTTTTTTTTTTTTTTGGTAGTGTTTTCTTATTGTCTTGCACACTTTTTTTCTTTATTTTTACATTCAGAATGCTTTAAAAATTCCATTTAGAAGACAATTGTTTATAATAAAATTCTATTCAATCGGTAGACTCATAACGACTGAAAACAATGTTTTTGTTTGAGTTTGGGTTTGACCAATTCGTAAAAAAAAAAAAAACTAATTAAGACATGCGTTTCCGTCAACCTTAAACAATAATCTTTGTCAATTTTAATTTTTCAGTCTTTATGATGGTCGATACTTGATCTATCTCTTACTGTTACATCCCCGGGCAACGCCGGGCTCTACCGCTAGTATTTTTACTATAACAATCTATTTTTATAGTCTCATAGTGTTTTGACCCTAGTTTGAGGGTTAACTGTTTGCTCATATGAAAATAAATAGATAATTTTGGCCCGTTATTTTACTAGTACACGAATATACTATATCTAATGGCCTAGAAATTGGAATATATCAAGCAAATCTCTGCGTTGTTAAGTAGTTACTGACACTGAAGAAATAATGTAGGACTTTCAGGTTTTTATTTTAAACATTAACTGGAGTAAACAGTAAAAAAAGAATTTTTTTTAACTCTCCCACCGATGGATAGACAAGAGTTGGCTGAAATCGCTAGGAGACAATGATTAGCGAGTAAGTGTCATTCACTTCTGCTTCTATGCCATAGAAAATAAAATTTAGTAAATACTAGACCACCAGTGACCTGTTGGGTCAACTTTGTGTTGACTGTTTACATTTTGTTTCATGAAGAGTTTGTGAAAGTAGAGATATTTTAAAAATACATTTATTTGCAGTTATTGAAAGGTGCTACCTCCACGGGTCCGGGTGGGCCTGGGAACAACAGCAATTTAGAGGTGGTTCCACTCTCCTCAAAACCTTCCAAGCAGAGGCCTTGCTGCTGAATGTAGTTTATACCCAGGACGCGAGATCTATCGTCTAAACAAGGACTAGAATAAAATATATGTGGATATCTGTAATTTCAGTCATATTCCGCTTTGAGGTTGGAGTTTAATGTTTACATTTCAAGAATGTCTAAATTTAAGGAATGTTGTCAAGGATGTTGTCCAGATTTGAGTAACTTTATCGAGGATGTTGTCTATATTTCCGGAATACTGTCGAGAATGCTCTGTAGATTACAGAAATGTTGGGGAATATGTTGCCGATATTTTAGGCATGTTGTAAAGAATGTTGTCTACTTTTCATGAATGTCGAGAATGCTGTCTAGATATCAGAAATATTGAGAATAATGTTGTCGATATTTTAGGAATGTTGTAGTGAATGTTGTCTAGATTTCGATAGTACTATTCAGATTTTACGAATGTTGTCGGGAATGTTGTCAAGATTTCAGGATCAAAACGAGAGAAGACTGGTTTAAAATCTTCAAAACAAAAAGTGTATTACAACACATTCGATACGTGAAACGTCTGTCACTAGAGGTATAAATGCAGGAATTACTGTTATTCGTGTAAATATACGAAGACATGCATCTGGTTCTGGAGAACGAAAATATGGAAATGATATTTATTTACAGATGCGCTTGCTGGAAATTATGAAATATTATGAATAAAATTTTTATGCTCCCATCGTGAAAAAATGATTTCATTTTCCTGGTTGTACGTTTTTTTTTTGGTGTTCTGGCAAATAAAACATTTTTAAAATATTTTAATTCTATCTCTTCATTTTTGTCACATTCAAAAGAGGTACATTTTTGTGTCTTGGACAATCCAGAAAAGTCAACCGTATCCCATATATGAAACCTCAATACATGCATACCTATTGGTCACTGCGGATTTGCAATTCATTTTTTAATGTCGTTTCTCTTCAGAGCATAAGCGATCATGGCTTTCCACAGCATCCTTTTCTTTAGTATATATGAATTACAATGAGTTTTTTGGGAAAGATAGCATGTTTTCTCGTTGCCTTCTCTGCGGTTTTCAACATTGAGTCGTCCTTCTTTTAGACCGGTCTCAACGCAAAGATAAATCGATCATGCTATTTAATCCGTATATGGGGAGATAAGAGATGAATTCATGCATTTTCCAAACGCATTATTCTGAAATAGAAAGTAAACTCTGCTCGCCGCCGCCTATTTACGCTGTTGGGCGAAACTAACCCTAGAGCAGCCGATTCTATTTCAGTTTTCCCTTAAAACCTAAACTAAATCCTAGACACTATGCTCATCTATTATATAAATGAACGCAAAGGACTGATAATAACACAAACAGATTATTTTAGGAAAATAAATAGATAATTTTAGCCTGTTATTTTACTAGTACACGAATATACTCTATCTAATAGGCTAGAAATTGTAATATATCAAGAAAATCTCTGAGTTGTTATGTAGTTACTGATGCTGAAGAAATAACAGGCTTTTATTTTAAGCCCTAACTGGAGAAACCAATAATAAACAAGCTTTTAACTCTCTCACCGATGGATAGACAAGAGTTGGCTGGAATCTGAGATAATGATTAGCGAGACAATGATTTTTTTTCATATATATATATATATATATATATATATATATATATATATATATATATATATATATATATATATATATATATATATATATATATATATATATATATATATATATATATATATATATATATATATATATATATATATATATATATATATATATATATAAAAATGAGGCACGGTGGATAGCGGCTTGGATTGAGGAATCGCAGAGCCGAGTTCGAATTCCAGTCGAATCCATTACATTCACTTACATGCTAATACCCTTGGGAAAGGTGTGAATCCTCTTCTTCTCCCTCCAGCTATGGATAAATAGCAGGACAGAGTGGGTTCTATAGCCTTGGATGGCAACTGGTCTAGGAGAAGGACAACTCTGAATTCAGAACCTGCGGAGGGTCGTTTGGGGACCTTGTGGCACTTAGTGCATCAGGTCTCTGTAATCGGCCCTTCAAAAAGTGTGGATGGTCCTGCACGAAACATTCACCACTATAATCAAATCTTATATGCTGTTGTCGGGCTGTCGGTTTCCTAGAAACTGATCTGCTTGACCCTTCATACGTCGAAGTCGACCATATATAT